AGAAAAGAGTTTTAACACAAATATTATTTTTTATGTAGACTAATACTAGTATCAGTTTAAGTGTGATCATGATCTAATCTACCGATTTTATTTCTCAAATTTTGTATATAATTTTTTCAACAGGTTTTGCAGTTTATTTCTTCTGGCGTTTCTAGGAATCCTTTACCCATACAATCGTGGATCACTAATCACCTCCATTATTGTGATCTATTCTCTTACATCAGTAGTTACTGGGTATACATCTGCTTCTTTCCACTGCCAGTTTGCCGAGATTGGATGGGTAAATTTTGCCTCTCCCTGTGGGTTAACTCCATGATATATTTTTATTTGCAGTATTATTTTAGTGGCTCATGATCTTTTTGTGGATGATGGTTGGGAGGGAGTCCCATATTGGCTAATTTAAGGAATGGTCATGAGTTTATAAGTAAGGAATACATCTCCATTGGTATGAGACCTTTTGGAAAAACCCAAAGCAAAGTCATGAGAGCTTATACTCAAAGTGGGCAATATGATATAATTATGGAGAGTCGTGATTCCTAACACTTTTACCATTTCCTTCTCACATTTGATTTTGTCTTCTTATTTTCAGGAGAGAAGTGCTATTCTATCAGCGATTCTGTATTTGGGGCCATCATGCTTCATAATTTTTATCCTAAATATTGTTGCTATATCCAATGGAACTACTGCAGCACTGCCTATTGGCACCATCATAGTGATTCTTATCATATTTACTTTTATCAGCCTCCCTTTGCTTGCATTCGGAGGAATAATAGGACATCGATTTAGATCTGAGTTTCAAGCGCCTTGCGCCACCAAGAGAAACCCGCGAGAGATTCCTCCTTTGGCTTGGTTCAGAAAACTTCCTTGTCAAATGTTCATTAGTGGTCTGTTGTCATTCAGCGCAGTTGTTCTTGAATTACATCACTTGTATGCAAGCATGTGGGGGTTCAAAATTTTCACCCTTCCAAGCATTTTGTTCATCACATTCATCATCCTTGTCGTACTCACTGCAATCTTGAGCGTTGGTTTGACTTACATTCAGCTGTCGGTTGAAGATCATCAATGGTGGTGGAGGTATCTATTATGTCCAGCTTGCATGATTGAGATTGTCATCCATTTTCTTCTATGTAATTGCTGTCTTTTCAACCGTGCAGATCGGTGTTCTCTGGGGGCTCAACAGCCATCTTTATGTTTGGATATTGCATATACTTCTACGCCAGATCGAATATGAACGGTTTCTTGCAGCTATGCTTCTTCATAGGATATAATGCTTGTTTATGTTACGCATTCTTCCTGGTGTTGGGAGTCGTAAGTTTCCACGTTTCGTTGTTTTTCGTTCGTCGTATTTACAACGCTGTCAAAAGCGAATGAGTTCATTTGAGCTTCGATTTCTATTATCATATTGAGGGAAGAAGGATCATCCACTTGAAGATTTTCATAGGAAAGAAGGAAAGAAAAGAGGCGTTAGTCATTGGGTAATCGTCATTTCTTGAGTTGTAGAAGATGAAAAATCTGTTGGACTAAGAATCGATGTTGAATTGCTCTTTATTTGGAACTATAATATTCGTTCTTAAAGATTTTGGACATTCTTTCGAAGGGTAATTATTTTTCCTTTTTCGGGTGACGTTGATACCATCGTAGGCTATTCATGTTAGAATTCTCTAAACCCTAAACCCTAAATCCTAAACCCACCATACTGGTTCTCACACTCTCCTAAGCCAACTAGTCAAGCTAGCATTCGCTTGATGGGCTGATGCTAGACACTCGAAGGAAATAATGACTTCATAGCATCATGAAACATGATGGTCATTTCAGTTTCATAGTGCGTGCTTGTACTTATCATAAAGGGAATGTATCCTGTTGCACATGAACATACAACCATGGATGAGATCCTCATACTTTCATCATGGTGTAACAAATAATGCACGACAACCTCAATCCTTTCATTACATATTAAACTCGGTAGTTATGCGTACATAATTCTTATACATCATTTCATACCTAACAACTTCCAAGTCAGGGTGATATGGAATCAACCCAAAGAAAAGTTTTGGAGCGGATTACCTTCAAGATCAAGAATAAATAAAACTCGTTTTTAAACTCATGATTCGAATTATTTCACAAAACGTTTGATCAAACTCTAACATGCAAGTTTGAAATACAAACATACAAGTTATTTTTTTCCATTCCAAAATGTCATATTAAAGAAATATCATGAATAACTATTTATAACCTTCAAAATAAAATCTTATAATAACCTAATGGTTAACTGGGAGGGTGTAACTTTGATGACCATCAATACCATAATAACCACTAACTAATTATAATTAAAGACAATTTTCTCAAATTTAAAAAATACAATAAAATCTTCTTAAATCTAATTCATCCATGGCAAGATTAAGATAACTTATTTCGTATCATTCTCCCGTTCTTCAAAAGGATTCGTCCTCGAAACTAATTGATACCTTTGTAATGAAAACTTAAAATCATTTGTATTTCTTGGTTTTAATCTTCTTCGAGTCTTCACTTTTATTTTTAAGTCATGCATGGATGTAAAAATGAAATGAGAGTGTGGCTTCTTGTGCATCTCACGGTTCTTGTTTTCCCCATGAGTTTGCGGTTGGCCAGCATTTTAATTTCGTGCAAAAATTCAATAGAAAAAGTCCTTCCAATTTTGTGTATATGTCCTTTCGTATGCAAAACATTGTTCTAGCAAACTCTAGTAATAGAATCCTCTTTCTTTTTAATCTCTATACATGTGTCAAACATTTCTTCCTCACACTCTTTCTCCTTTTTACTTCCTTTACATTTTGTCTCTAATGGACATGGAGCGACATATACTTGCATATTGTTTTTGCTCGTCTCCGTATCATCAGTAACAATATCATCATTTGAAATATTATCTCGCACCATAATACAATCTTCCTCTTTTTGAATGGGTTGTACAATTTGCCTCTCTTACTTGGTCCTACAAATCCAACTCTTGACGTAATTTACACATGTATTCCATAGATCGGTGGATTCCATCTAAAATGCATCACTATTAACATGAGACTTCTCATCCATCTCTTGATTTCTATGCTTATAATCGATGTTCGTATCCTTTTTCCATGTAGAAGTAGAGTTGGAAAAAGTTTTAGAAGAATACCATTGAGACCTTCGTTGGATTTGCCTCTTGATCTTAATTGTAATGTGTAACAACTCCTCGATATTAGAATAAGGTTGTATTTCAGCCTTGTCTGCAATCTCCGTGTTTAACCCATTAAGAAATCGCGCCATGAGAGCCTCCATGTCCTCATTGAGATCCAGTCGATCCATCAATATATCTATCTTCTTGTAATAATCCTCCACAAACTTGCGCCCTTGTTTCAATGTTGGAAGCTTTTGCTCTATGTCCCGTTGAAAATATTGTGGAACAAAACGCTTCCTCATGGGCTCTTTGAACTCATATCATGAATCAATTGGTGCTTCAAGATTTATTCTCCTACTTGACATCAATTTATCCCACCAAATCTGAACATATTGTTTGAATTGAGCAATGCATAAGAGTACTTTCTTTTCATCACTAAAATTATGACCGTTGAACACCGACTCCACCGTTTTCTCTCATTCAAGGTACTCATTTGGATCGGTTTTACCATAAAACTTGAGAAGTTTTAATTTGATGCTCCTCACTTTACGATCAATTCTATCGTCATAAGGAACTCGTTGTTGAAAATTATGATGCCTTCTTCCACGGCTTCTCCCTTGCATCAAGGCACGACCAATCGCATATGGATTATCCTCGTATTGACTAGAATTGTCTCCCTCATATTGATCGGCATGTTGTGCTGGTAGTGGAATCCTCTCTCGAGTTTGATTTTGAATCTCCAATCTTCTTATTTGATCTGTCAACTCCTCTATTCCTTGAATTAGTTTTTCTATGGTTCGTTGTTGGGCTTCTCTCAATCGTGCATCAGTAATGTGAGAATTGTTGTCCTAATTTTTCATGCTACTGAGCGGAATCACTTAATACACTCATTTAAAATATAAAATGAATCAATTTTTTTTTTTTTATATCATACACCATATTTTCTTTTTTTTTCCCCACAATTTGTCATCTTACTTTTTCTATATATATATATATATATATTTTGATTGGAGGATAAATTTTTAATATTAGGTCATAAATTGAAATATGAGTGCTAGCTTTCTTGGTTAGTTGACTCTACAAAACAGTATAGTTGGCACGTACGTGAGGTAGCGCCCCTAACCTTGGGTGTGAGATAGGTTTGTCATCTAACCTTCTATAAATGACGAGTAGGCTAGAAGCCACCATGTTGTCCCCACCTAATACGAAGTCTATGAAGGTAGCGCCTCATTTTTAAATATCGGCTATTGCTGCGTAGGCTAAGCTAGCTACTCAAGACTATACACAACAAGAGTAATACAATTAGAACTTAGAATAAAGTCTGTGGGCACCTGCTAAATCATGGATGCGATGAGAGTCTATAAGTAGGTTGCTTATTGGGTATATTTTTATACTCATCCCTTTCTTCTTTCTTTTCCAGGTGTTCGCAGGCTGCTGGTCGAGGTGGAGGAGCGTTCGAGAACTATGCAGTCACAGAGGGAGTCGTTCTGGAGCATCAGTTTGTTTTTATTTGGAGCCTTTTCTGTTTTGTTTTATAATGGTTTTCAAACTTAGTTGTTTGTTCTCTTTAATCTAATATTTAATTTTGGTGGTGTTGATTTTTTTTTTTTAATTTAAATTTTGTCAATTTTTTTATCTTTTATATTATTTGCTTTTATTTTTATTTATTTTTCACTTTCGTCACTTTAGCCTTTATTCGAGTTTTGTACAAGCACTTATGTAGTTAAAAAATAATTAAACATTTTCTTATATAGTTCATAAATAATTAAATGGGCTTTTAGGCCCATTTACTCAGACATCCAACGAAATTAGTGAGCCCAGTTCCACCGATCCATCTCTGTGTTAGAACACGTATAAATTCTCCTTTCTCTAAACCCTAATTTCTCCGTCTCTCTTTTGTTCTTCCGGTATGCGGTCTCCACTCTTACGTGTTTCACTTCTCCTCCGCTTCATCTTCTTAATCTCTATAGCATTGCGAAAATCCAACTTCTTGCGTTTTTGAATTTTGTGAATTTATTTTTCCGTTGTTTTTGTTTTTGGGGTCTGATTTGCAGTTTACCTTGGTTACTGGTCATGTTTATGTCAGTTGCTCCATTGTTATTTGCTTTCTTTGAAGAGTCTTATCTTTTCTCAACTATGCTTGTGCACAGGACTAAGTGTATAGTGTCCTTGAGACGGCGAAGATTCGAAAATGAGGTATTTTTTACGGCATTCTCTTTGTTTTGGATAATTGTTATGGATTCAGATTCATGTTCACATTTGGGTCATGCTATTCCCTTGATATATTTTTTTTTCGATACTACTGTTTTAAGTTTAATGGTTGCTACTGTCTGGAGTAATGGGTTCTGAATGATTTAATCAGCTGTTTGAGTAATCTGAACAGTTTGAGAATGTTAGGTTAGTTATCTTCAGGAAGTAGGCTTGCATTTCCATGCTTCTTCAATTTGTTTCAGTGTGTGATCGTATTAGTTATACCTTGTGTGCGTGGTCTTATTTATCTTCTCATTTTTCTACAGTAAGCTTCAGAGTGAAGCTTTGAGAGAAGCCATCTCATCTATCTTCACCGATAGCAATGAGAAAAAGAGGAAGTTTACCGAGACCATTGAGCTTCAGATCGGGCTGAAGAACTATGATCCTCAAAAGGACAAGCGTTTCAGTGGTTCTGTGAAGTTGCCCCACATTCCCCGCCCCAAGATGAAGATTTGCATGCTTGGTGATGCCTTGCACGTTGAAGAGGTAATTTTACTAGCTCTATGTGCATGATTCTGTTACTGGTTACCCTGTGATATTTTTCTTGCTATATCTTCAACAATGCTTGTGTGGCTTTAGAAATTTATTTTATTATTCTTAACTTTTTTAACTTAGCATATTTGTTGCTATACAATCAAGTTTAAAGCTAGATTATGGCTATAACTCAGCATATTTATTTGTGGTGTGTATGAGCCAAACACTAGCGTTTCTGATGGTTGTTTTAGAGAGAGATAATTTGGTGTGAATCAATGCATTGTTTTTTCCTTATTTTTGGGCTTCCATAGATTCCTCTTCTTATGTGTCCTCTAGGGTATGTCTTAATGTTGTTTCATGGAAATCTATTTCAGGCTGAAAAGATTGGTCTAGATTATATGGACGTGGAAGGCTTGAAGAAGCTAAATAAGAACAAGAAATTGGTGAAGAAGCTCGCCAAAAAATACCACGCCTTTTTGGCATCTGAAGCTGTTATCAAGCAGATCCCTCGTCTTCTGGGCCCTGGTCTCAACAAAGCAGGTTGGAATATTTTATGGATATGTAATTCCACTGTTTCTCTTCACCAAATGTGATTAATTGGCAACTCCCTGAAATATGAATCCTTGTTATGTTTCCAAGAATAGAAGGTGGAAAGCTAGAATTTTTTTAGGTATGTTAATTTTATCTTAACCTTTGTCATTTCTCCAGGAAAATTCCCAACATTGGTGACGCACCAAGAATCACTTGAGTCCAAGGTTAATGAGACCAAGGCAATGGTTAAGTTTCAACTGAAGAAGGTTCTTTGCATGGGAGTGGCCGTGGGAAATGTTGCCATGGAGGAGAAGCAAGTCTTCCAAAATGTTCAAATGAGCGTCAATTTTCTGGTTTCTTTATTGAAAAAGAATTGGCAGAATGTAAGTTAAATCTCAGTGCAACTCAACCTGAAGATGTGTTTCATCATTTTCTCTCAAGGGAATGTAAATATTGTCGTTTCATGATTTTTGCAGGTTAGGTGCCTGTACCTGAAGAGCACGATGGGGAAGTCGTACCGGGTTTTCTAAGCTCTGTTAGCAATCTAGTCAGTTTTATGTTTGATCTTTTTTACTGTTGACGTTATTTTTTGAAGAGCAGTTTTGTGAATTGAGCGTTTTTGATTGAATGATTCTTCAACAAAGAAACAGGGATGCTCTTTTCTCCTTTAAAACGACAATTGATAATGAAGTTTTTATTCCCATCAACCAAACTTATTCCCAACGTTCGTTTACATTACTATGTCTGGTTTTGTTGGGCTTGAATTGTTGGGTTTTTATTTTTTTGTGGGTTATTGACGTGCCAGCCCTCTTTTTATTTCACATTTTATGAGGAATGGTATTCACTGCATGTTTGTGAACTTCGTGCCATGCATGATCTCCATCCAAATATTACTTCTATTTTTCATAATAATCATTGATCACTGTACGTACTTTGTAGTTTGAATTACAATCTGTCTTTGATGCTATTAATGAAGAGGTTTCAAGCGGGTTCTTTTTTTAAAAGAATTGGTTGTTAATTTCATGGCTCGTGTTTGTTAATGATTTGTATTTGTATTTTATGCTATGATATGCAAATCAAGTTATTGTTTGTGAGATATGTGCGCCCTAAAGGGACTGCAGGTTTCGCTCTTAGGGGTTAACAAACACTGACATTATAGCCTCATTCAGTTCTATGTTGCTACTTTTCATGTGCTTGCATTTGTTGTTCAGCTCACAGGATCTTGTTTTTCCAGCTTGATTGTTGCTTTGAATTTTTTAACTGAATATCAGTGGTTAAATCTTTTCGTCTAACTGTTTGCAGTTAAACCTTTGGACTCTTGAGGTTTTGTTTTGAACTAATGGAAGTGATCTAGGTTGGATAGTTTTTTTTTTTTTTTTTTTTTTTTTTTTTTTGGTGTAATTACTTATGGAGCTTCGAGTGAAGAGCAGAAAAGCCCTTAGGCTGCATCTTCTCATAATGCTCCATACATCAATTGCTGCCTTCATAAACAATGAATAGCTTACTGCTATCTCATGTGTTGTTTTGAAGAGGCATACAAAATCATGAATGCCATGATGCTCTGAATGTAAATAGTTTCCACTGAAGAGTTTATCCATTTTGCACTGAGTTCCAATAGAAAATGTGAAATAAATGGTTCTGAAATTTTCTTATGTCATGTGCAAGTTCATGGTTGGAGGGGGAGGAGGTAATCATCGTCCTGGTGCTTGCTGGATTATGCTGTATATCTTAACTTTTCTATTTGATTGTTGTCGTTTTCTTGTCCCACGTTTTAGCTTTTTTACATCTTCATTTTTCACATGCTTTAGGTTTTGGTTTATTTGTAAACCACATAAGTTCAAATTAGTTTCATGAATTTGGAAGAGGGTTATTTGTTAACCTGTGTTCTGAGTGTTATAGTGTGTAGGGGTGTACACGACAACTTGGACGAACTCAACTTGAATTATAGGAATTGGGTTGAGTTGCATTAATATTTTGGGTTGGTTTGGATTATTTTTCCTCAACTCGTAATGAGTTTGGTTTTGAGCTCATAGAACAAAAATCTCGAATGGACCTGAACCAAAACACATAAAATAAATTAAAAAAATTTGTGAAAATTTGTCTTCTCATGAATTTGTGGGTTTTGTTCCTACTAGAACTCTATCAGCACAAGTTTAACTCTTGGATTGAACTTTTTTACTTTTATTTAGTTTCTTTTTATATATTTTTATTATTTTTAGTTTCTTATATATTATTGATTTGTTTGAGTAATTTTAAAGCATATTGTATTTAATTTTAGTTTATTTTATATGGTTGATTTATATATCCATTTAGGTTATTTTGATTCTACATATGGTTTTAAAGATTTTTAAAAGAATTGTTTTCCTTTAGTTTAAATTTAATATTATCAATTATATGAAAATTCAAGATTATTAAGGTAATTTGGAACATAGTTAATAACTAAGGAATTGATAGAAAAATAAAAAATATTTTTAAATATTGTAAAAATATTTTAATTGAAATGTGTTTACCTGTATGACCATATATAGAGTTAGAGAGCCCTAAATAACAATAAAAATGTATATATATAATTGAAATGTGTTTACCTGTATGACCTAGAGTTAGAGAGCCCTAAAGAACAATAAAAATATATATATATATAAATGAAAAATATATATATATATATATAATAGGATAGAATAATGTTGCAACAAATAGATAATAAATACATTAGAATTATTCTTTAATAACCAAATCTCGAATTAAGCATATTTAATAACCAAATCTTGACTTGAACAAATGGAATTAAACAAAAGAAATGTGGATTAAACAAATGGAATTAAACAAAAGAAATGTGTATTTGAGGGCGTGGGTGTCAATCAAACCAAACCCTAATATACAAAAAGATTCTTTTAATATATTTATATATTTTTATTTGGCTTGGGTCAACTCGAAGGTTCTATCCACGAACTCGAAATCGAACCTTTGGCTTGGGTCAACTCGAAGGTTTTGCCCACGAACTCGAAATCGAACCAATTCAGTTTGAGTTTAGAGAAATGAATTTAACCCTGCCTGAAATGCTAATCCAACCCAACCCTATAGTTCGGGTTGGGTTGGTCCGGGTTGCCGGGTTGTCGAGTTGAATGAATGTACACCTCTAGGGAATACTATTTTATATGGATCAGGTTACGTGCCTTATCTTGGTAACTCTACATCATTTTGACTATATACTTGAACTTGATCGACTCTTATGTCTCTACATATAGTCAGAGTGTAATTAGTTTATTGAATTTAGATTAATAATCGTAAAATTCACTTTATTCCATAACAATCTTGTAAACATCAATAATAACTTTATTGAAAATAAAATATGTTTTTGTTTACACACTATGAATTTTAGGACATAAAACCCAACATCTTCATGGTATCAAAGATCAGAGATCTTGAAGAATTGGAGTTGTTCTCCATCATCACTACTTTGAATGTTGTTTTCGCTCATGTGGCCGACAACTTCGGCATCTGAAAATCTCTCACCATAAGTTATTTAGGCTGTGTTCTTGAGAAGATTCAAGGAAGTACGACTATCGAAGCAAAATTTGTGGAACTTGTTCATGCGAGCAATGGAACTAGGGCTGTGAAGCATCCATTTAGGAATTTGCTCCAATAGAAGAATCTGGCGCAGTTGATCACGAAGTGTTTAGAATTTTGGCATAGCTGCTTACTAGAAAAAATTCAATTTTACTTTAGCTCATGTGACTCTGCAAAGCTCAAGGATCGGTAGGCTCTAGGGTTGATCTTGTTGACGTTATTCAGAACTGTAGTGGAAGCTTAAGGATCCCTTGGCTCTAAGGTTGATCCAATTGGCACTGTCCAAAAACACAGCGGAAGCTCAAAGATCGATAGACTCAATGGTTGATCCAGTTGACGCTATCCAAGTCTATGACACTGTTGCTGAGAGTGCTATAGGGTGTATGAACATGGCTACTATTACTGAGAGTGCTTCAAATTCAAGTCTATAACACAATAGACTTTGACATATGAGCATCAAAACAAATGAAGATGCCGGCTGGAAGAAGTTTTCGAAGGTCTGAAATCTATTGATATGGGTACTTGTGAGAATTGTGTTATGAGCAAATAGAAACGAGTTAGCTTCACAAAAGCTGCCTAAGAATTAAAGAAAGTGCGGTTTGAAATGGTCCACACAGATGTTTGGGGACCATCTCGAGTTCCATCAGTTGGCGGATCAAAGTTTTACATCATCTTCATCGATGATTTCAGCAGGAAGGTGTGAATTTATTTCCTGAAACACAAGTTAAATGTGTTTTCCACCTTTAAAAAGTGGAAAACTGAATTGAAAATCAGACCGACTTGAAGATCAAATGCCTGATGAGGTCTGACAATAGAGAAGAGTACGACAAGTCAGAATCAAAGCATTTTGTGCACCTGAGGGAATTCAATTAATAAGGACAATTCTCGGTAAAGTAAAACAAAATGGTGTTGCTGAAAGGATGAACAAAACATTAAATGAGCGGACAAAGAGTGAAGATTCATTCTAGTTTGCCAAAGACATTTTGGGCCGATGCTGTAAATACTTGAACAATAGAGGGTCGTCAATACTATTGAAGTTCAAATTTCAAGAAGTATGGACAGGAAAAGAACTCAAGTACTCTCAGTAGAGAACTTTTGGTTGTACTACGTATGTTCGTCTTGATTCAGAGAAGAGTGACAAGCTTGACGCTGAGCCGATGAAGTGCTATCTTATAGGCTATGATTCTGACATGTTTAGGTACAAGTTTTGGGAGGACAAGAATAGAAAAGTCCTGAGACATTGTTATGTGACGTTTGATGAAAATGTCGTGTACAAAGACAAAGAGAAGATTCCAAGACAATGAAGCAAGTGGAAGTTGAAGTTGAGTTGTAGAAAGATTCACCTAGCGATGTTGTAGCAAATACTCAAGAAACTCCTGAGACTGTTTCTGACGAATTAGAGGTAGAGTAAGTGACACCTGAGCAGGTGTTGAGAAGTCCATCCAGAACTATCAAAGTATCAGATAGGTATGTACCTTCATTACATTATCTGTTGCTGATTGATGGAGGACAACTAGAGTTCTTTGACAAGGCTTACAGTTGGAGGATATAATAATGTGGGAGCAAACCATGAATGATGGGATGTCTAGCCTTCTGAAATGCGTTGCTCTTTCATCTACTAAGGCTGAGTATGTGGCAATGGTTGAAGCAGGAAATGAGATGATATGGATGACAGACTATCTAGATGAATTGGGGAAGAAGCAGCACAAGAAGATTCTTTATACAGATAGTCAAAGTGTTATACAGCTAGTGAGGAACCTAGTCTATTATTCAAAGATAAAACACAAAAAGCGATACACTTTCACTCGCAGGTTAGTGGAAGATGGTGATGTGTTTAGAGAAGATAGAGGGTGCAAAGAATCTAGCAAACATGTTGACAAAATGTGTTGATATTGGAAAGTTGAAGTTGTTCAAAGCCTCAATTGGTATGATGGAGTGAAATTGAGAATGAAATTATTGGTTGATTAGATCTAAGAGTTGCTTGATGACTATTTATAGTAAAAGATCTGGTAGAGATATATACAAGAGATATTTGTTAAACCCGTGAAAGTTATATTTAATAAACTCAAACCACATGTATACTCCATTAGGTAGTGCTCTCAAAATGTACTTTCTTCATTATCTATATTCTCGTAGATACATGAAGTCATCAATAT